GTTCGGGCTGGGCTCGTAATGTATTTGCCAGTCTTTGCTTCCGGTTGCCCTTGTTTGCCCCTATGTGCCCCTGTATGCTTGTGCTTGTCCTAGTTTGCCCCTTGCCGCCCTTGTTTCCCTTGTTGGCTTGAATCGCTATGTGCTACTGGTTGCTGTTACTTCCTGTCATTTTGGATGGCTCTTGTTGGGGAGCTCACGGAACATCTCTATTTACGCGTGCAGTCAGCGAGCGCTACGCAGACATCGCACGCTCAAGTTTCAAGGACCTCGTGTACGAATCTAAAACGAAACGGTTCAGCTGGTACCAAGTTACCCACAGTTTAATGGAAACTACCCCTTAATTAGTAGGTATAACGATAACCCATAAAACTGTAGGTAATAGGGGTTACAGTCCCCACCAGCCTCGGATGTCAGCCCGGCTCAGCCCGCGCTGAGTGCCTAGCCCTTTCTCTGAGCCAGCATGGCTATGAGGGTGTTCAAATCCTGCACTTTCGGGATGGTCCAACACAAATGCCAGCTAGAGAGCAACCCTTGAGAGCAAGCAGCTGGAAGAAACTCTGAAATATGCAGTTCGCTGAAGTACTCCAATGTACTTCAGATGCTAACACCAACCTCTGTGCTTTACTCAACCGGTCTTGCGGACCTCCCCTCACACAAGGCGAGGAGCAGCAGCACTACCCATCCCTGGGTTCCCGACCATCCAAAGGAACATGATGAGGCTCGTTACCTGGACACGGCCATACCCGAACCAGCCCCAGGCCCTTGCAGAGATCCTCATCCCAAGCCCAAGGACCTAAAACTGAAGCTCCAAAGCTCAATGTCTAAGGCTCCTCTTGCCTTCCCATCTCCTAACCGTTAGGACCTAACTGTTCAGTAGCATGGGCCTGCTAGCAGCGCTCCAGCACTCCAAAGCCTGAAGCTTGGAGTTCAGTATATGGTAGTTTCCCTAAATTCTGGGACCCAATATGGACCCCAATTACTATTGTCCTTATTATATGGTACCCCTAATTCTGGGAAATCCCCATATGCCTAAGAGTTGAGTGGAGGTTGAGTGGAGAGGGCCGGTGCCAGAGCAGAACGGAACTTCTTTCGCCATGCTTATCTTGTGAGTGTTGGTACATCTGCTCACGGCTCTGGTAGTGTTTCGTAGTATAGGCTTTGGATGACTGCCGGCATGCAGTAACACCAGCACTGTCTTGAGCACCAGTACTACAGTTCTGCTGCTTCCAAATTCTTACAGCTTTGCTTGGACAACTCCGTGGCCAGGCTGAAACATAAACATAGAGCGTCGTAGGAAGCATTCGCCCGGGCTACCCATCACCTACAATAATCCACGCACCTATCACATAGCCCCCCGGGTAGAATGCCTGGTGGTTTACCAAATAACAACAAAGGTTCACGCCAATGATCCGGATTCCCGGCAAGCCTAGCCTTTGGCAACGCTACATGCAGTCTCCGTGGTCCTCGGTCCACTGATTCTGGAACGTACACGGGGAGCAAAGTTTTGGCGGAGACCCGAGCCAGAACATATAAATCTGTTGGCACAAGCTCTTGCAGCAACTTTAATATCCGTAGACCAACATGGAAACCTCGCGACTGCACAGTGACCAGAAACAAATGCCGCCCGGCACGCCTGCAAGGCTTTCAAAAGCATACGGAAGCCTTGTCAGCATCCAACAATTTCGCATGGGGGCCAGGATAGGCCTTCTGCTGACAATTATCCATACCCTTCGTTTTGGGTCTGCTCAGAAGTAGGGTCCCAGAAACATTGCAGAATAAGATGATACCAACGAGGCTGAGCAAAGAGATTCATAAATCTTGAGGACCCCTTTGCATAGACACCTTCTTTTGAGAAACATCTTAGATGGCAATCTCTCAAAATGAGCTCATTATTTTGAAGAAGATCCAGATGATCAGATCCCCTCGGAACCCTTTACCACCATGTTGTGAAGAGCACCTGAGCCCTAAGCCCCTTTTTCAACAACCATGAAACCCCTAAACCCTTAACCCCTCAGCCTCTAAACCGTAAACATTGAGAAACACCCAAGACCTATGTAGGCAATTACAAAACATAAGTGTTCTCCATAATCTGAACCATAGGGGGACATAGGTCCTCACTTGGTTCTAATTTGAGTGCTTTCCCTACCGACAACCCCTTTTAAGCCCCAGCTCCACGTTTCTGTTTGATTTTCCATTATTGGTGATATATCCCCGGTAACCCTACACCCTAAACCCTGAATAGTAGTTTCCATTTCTTTCTCCCATTTTCTTCTCCATTACTGGCTTTATATCTCTGCACAAAAGGTGCCACATAACCCTCTGCATCCCACATAACCCTAAATTCTGGGCTTACACGCCCTAACCCCTAAACCCTCAACACAAGACAATTAGAGGCGTGGCGCTTAAGGCTACCTCTGCCAGGGGCCAGCAAGGCTAGGCGCTCCAAGCCACCATGGCCTGCAAAAGAACCAGGAAACTACAGGTCAGGGTTTAGGGTTTTTTCAAGGTTTAGGGTGTAGGATTTAAGGTTTAGGATTTAGGGTCACAGGGGCATATGGGGGTTGTCCAATATTCTTTCTCCCAAAAACAGCCCTTTCGCCGCCCTTTCGCGGACCTTTCGCGGGCTTTCGCCCGCAGCATTTTCTTGAGATNNGCAACAAACCTTATCCAATCCTATTGAAATTTTACATGTCCTGTATTTGATAGATTTGTTGAATGCTTGGAAATTCTGTTGGGGTCCTATATGGTCGGGGGGCCTAAATAATTACGTACTTAGTAAACGAGCCTGAACCCACTCCGCAGATTTACAAGCTAAGCTAGAAACTGAGTGATGTTCTCGCCCTGCATGCGCAAAGCCCGGCTTTTCATAGAAGC